GAGGGAATAAAATAACCCTGTTTTGTGGAGATGGGAAATAATAATTTTGTACAGAATGATTTGTCATGTTAATTTTCTGCCTATGAAAAACTAAGTGGTGTTCCCTCTTATCCCCTGGAGTTTTTCTAACTGGGAATGACCCAGAAGTGACACGTTAGTGATAAAGACTAAGTTAAAACAGGTAGCCAGACACAGGGAGAGAAAGAAGAGAGCACTGGCTGGCATTCTTTTTCTTTCATCTGCCTTTGTAGTTTCATTTCTATCTAGAAGAGTGGGTGTATTAGAAAAAAATATCCTCATGCATGTGAAACTAGGCACTCAGCAATTAATACAGATGGAGGATTTTTTTTTCTATTTAAGTGTCTGCTTTTCATGAGGAACATGAAAAATTGTAATACCGTTTCAAAAATGCTGGCAACTAATTAAGCAGCCAAAGAGGATTTTCTTAAAGAATGTTATTAATGAAATTTGAAACTGAATAATTGGAGAATGCTTTTTTTCTCTTATCCTGTTGTTTTTTGCCTTTAACATACTAAAGCAGGAATGAAAAACCTGGGTGATTTTTTTTTTTTCTAGTTTTTATTTGTAGAAACGTGAATAGCTCTTCTCCAGTTTACTTTTTGACCCCGTAGCTTTTTAAAGTCTGTATTCTAAGACTATTAACATTATATCTTGAATGAGTTTTTCCATAAGAACACATCTGGCAGCTTTTATTCATTTACTAAGCACTTACTGAACACCGACTCTTGTCCTTGTTCACATTTGTGTATATATAGTGTAATAAAAATCTTTGTCTAATGTTATGGGTGTTTAATATCTAGAAATTATACTAACTATTCTACCAACTAAGACCTTCTATAATTTATGTCTTAATGTAATTATTTGCACATGAAGTTTTGTGTATGAAAGTCAAAGGATAAAGATAAAAGTACTTGAGAAAATGATGAAAATTATGGTACTGATAAGAGAAGAAAACCAAACATGTACCTATGTTTATAGTGGCACAGTGTGTAATAGCTAAAACTTGGAAACAGCCCATTTGCCCATCAGTTGGAGACTGGATAAAGAAGATGTGGTTTTTCTATAAAATGGAATACTACTCAGCCATAAAAAATGAGAAGTTAGATTCATTCATAGGAAAATGGATGCATATTGAGGATATACTCCTAAGTGAAATACATAAGTCACACATGTGTAAATACCAAATAGTTTCTCTGGTGTGAAAAACTATAATTGTACATAAGATCCTAATGAGACAATTGATAATGTGAAATGGGAAGAAAAGGGCTAAAGGTGTGGGGAAACTGGGAAGGGTAGGGGAAGGATGATAAGGGAAAACAGAAAATATGAGAAAATGAAAAAATGGAAATAAAGCGTTAGTAAATGGGGAGGGAGGAGGGGGTGAAGGGGGGCAGGTACAAGGGGAAAAAATGAGAACCAAGACCTGTCATGTGAAGGTACAAGATCCCAATGATGAACATAACTGTACTGTATACCTAAGATGTACCAATAAATTCAATGAGAGAGGAAAAAAAGAAAACCAAACATGTATATAGGTCTGTATCTAGATATCTTTATTATATATATAACTTGGAAAAATGTGTTCTATTTCTCTAAGAGCTCCACTGAGCGTTTCCAGCAGTTTTGCAATTGGTGCATTTTCTGTTGTCCACCTATACAAACGCAGAACACACAGGAACTGGGAGACTGAATCACCCAGTCAGGGTTTATAGTGCAGAGGCTGAGCAGAGTTTAGGCATTGAGTTCCAGAGCCAAGCATTTTGGTGCAAAAGCCAAGGTTTAACTGACCCTAAAATATGTCAGTGTCAAAGTAGTGGTATGTTGCAAAACCAAGATGGTTAAGCAATGGAAATAACGTTATGCTGGTGGTAAGAGGTAATCAGGAGTTCAAAACCAATTGCATACAGTATACTAATTGAGTAGCCAACTGTATATAGAGTAGTCCTACAGGCCTCAGGAGGGGCTAGGGGTGTGTTCCAGAAAGTTAATGGTGCTAGTTCTTTCTAGTGGGGAAATTACAATTATATTTTATCACTCAACACTAGCTCTGTTAAATCTGGAGTCACTTGTATAGAATGTAAATAGGAATGTATGTGTATTTTTTCAAGCTGATTATTTCTTTAATGGTCAGATAATTGATTAGATCTTATACCTTGATTTGACTAGTGAAACTCAAACTTGTAGAAATAAAAGCTTTTTTAAGAGGGAGTAGATTGTTTTTCTTTTTTTGGGAGTGGGTACGGGGGATTGAACTTGGGACCTTGCCCTTGCCAGGTAGGTGGTGGAAACACTCAGCTAAATCCCCAGCCCAAGGGAGGAAATTCTTAAGGTAGAGTGCTGATTACATTACATAAAACTTTTCCGGGCTGCAGTTGGAGTTTTGGTTCTTGTGTAAAACATCTAAAGGAATGGATATGTTTTATGACTTACTGTCAGGAGCGTGCATATTTCCAGCATTAGATTCACATGTTGAATTTAAATGAAAACACTGGAAAGCCTCTTTATCTGTAGGTATAAATAGTTTAGCCAGGCATGGCAATAACACTGAACAAATCCAACCAGGAAATGCAATTAAAATAAAAATGTTATTTCAATACCTTAAGTGAGACCTTCCAGTAGCTTTGGATTCCTATCTAAATTGCAGTCTTTTCTGGGACATTGTCAGTTGTGATTCTGGGCTCAAGTGACAGCTGCAGGACATTAGTATATGATTTTTTAGGATGTCAGTTCTGCAGGTTTTTGCACTTTGACCAGGTGCTATAACTACACTTGGACTTTCCATGTCATATTTAATTAATGAAAAATAATAAAATAGAAAATTGATGAATTATGTTCAAAATATTGCTGGGTGTAGTGGCACACCCCTGTATTCCCAGCACTCAGGAGGTTGAGGCAGGAGGATCAGGTGGGAGGCCATCCTGGGCTACATACTGAGATCAAGGCCAGCCTAAACTACTGTATATAGTGAGAGAGACCCTGTCTCAAAAACAACAAAACACTCAAAATATTAACTCAGTGCCTCCATGGTATTGGCAGGTCATCCGATTCGTTTCTCTTATTTGATGGCAACTTGGTTGTAATCTTAAGAATTTTTAAAGATAATTCATCTAGTCTTGGAAATTGGCAGAGAAATAGGGAGAATATTTAGGAATGAATTACAGAGATTATGGAACGATCACAATTTTTTTTTCTTCTTGGAAAAAGACAGTATTTTATGTTGAACAAAAAAAGTCAGAAGGGATTTGTGGGGAGCTGTGTAGTTGAATTTTGTTTCTGGTGCTGGGAATCAAACCCAGGGCCTCATGTGTGCCAAGCACAAACTCTTTACCATTGAGCTACACTCCCAGGCCTAGATTTTTTTAACATTTAGCAAAATAGGCATTATCTTCAGGCTTTCTATTTATGGAAAGAATAAAGGGCTAATAAGTATGGACTTTGCCTTTAAAGACTTTGTTTCTTGATTTAGTTAAGTAGCCACACAGCACCACTTGAGAGTAGCACCAGCACTTCATGGTCTGAGATTTAAACACTGAATGGCTCAGTTAGTTACTCGGATTGTTTTGTTAGTGTTGAGCTCAAACCCAAGCCTTCGAACATTGTGCACATGTGCTCCACCACTGAGCTGTGTCCTTAGATAATTAACTTTGAGTCAGTAGCTTTTGTGTTGTGTAATGGTGTACAAAATAGTAATTTATGTTAAATGTTATGTGTTATGATATGTGTCCTTTTGTAACTTTGGTCAGTGGGATGAAATCGTGGCTTCTTAAAAAGCTTAATTTAATTCTTCAGTCTGAACACTGGAACAAGCCATTTTAGCTGTAAATTGTGGCTGTATGGGATTCCCGCCCCACTCTTAAACAGTTGATCTCTTCCCGCACACAAATACCTAGTTTCAGTTAAAGCCTGCCATCTTGTGGCCTTTAGAAAGACAGGATCCGGGGAAATTTTTGCTAAGATTTTATCTATATATGTATATGTATAGTTGCTTTATGATACCAAAATGAGCTCCAAATGTCTTTAAAGTATATTTTCTTAACATTTGGTCTGTTAATTTCTTTATTTTATTTTAATATTACAAAATTATTTAAAAGTTGTTAAAGATTCCTCTTAGCTTCTCCTCAAAAAATGCCAGTAGTAAAGTATTCTTGTACAATAACAGTTTCAATTAAGAACATGTACTTGAATCTTCATATTAGTAAGGCTTTTCCCATGTAACTAATTATATAACAATATTTGAATGAAAGCTATACTGTCCTTTAATTGTTGGACAAACTATCTGAAGGGACATGTAATCTTGTAATAGCTCCATTTAATAAAAAGTAACATTTAGAGAAAAGTGAACTTCAATTAGCATTTCATTTTTGGTAGTTAATATAAACTGAGATAACTAATTTTTCTGCAAGGTATCGGCTCTTATTTATAGTTTGGAAATCTCAGATCATCTCTTATATAATAGGAAATGGAAGGTGGCTTTCAAGCTTCCGGAGGTCATTTATTTCTCATTGTCAAGGTGAATTTCTGTATGATATATCATTGTTATAAAATTATTCTAATTTTGTTTTGTTTTGTATTTTGAGACAGGGTCTCACTATGTAGTTGAGACTGACCTGGAACTCACTATATAGCCCATGCTGGTCTTTAACTCCTGCCTCAATTCCAGCACTCCAGAGGCTGAGGCAGGAGGATCACTGTGAGTTCGAGACCAGTCTGGGCTACATAATGAGTTCCAGGTCAGTCTCAACTACATAGTGAGACCCTGTCTCAAAAAACAACAACAAAACAAAACAAAACAAAACAAAAAAAAAGAAAGAAAGAGTGTTGTTATCTACCAAAAACTAGATCTAATGCTCCTAAATTGCTTCTCTGTTTTTAGGAGGTTTGGGCAGCCCTTATTTAAGCCCTCTTGAATAAGCAAGGGGAAGGCCTGAAGTTGAGGTCTAACTTGATCTCTGTGCTCTTTTTCAATTGTATTACAGTTACGCTAAGAAAGAATCTGATCTCAATGGAGCCCAGATCAAGCTTCGAGAATATGAAGCAGCCCTGAACTCTAAAGACGCAGCTCTGGCTACTGCACTTGGTGACAAAAAAAGTTTGGAAGGCGATTTGGAGGATCTGAAGGATCAGATTGCCCAGGTAAGGCAAACTGCTTCTTCCTTAAATTGGGCAGGTTAGTCACCATCTGTCTTAGGGTATGGTTCACCTGATGGATTTTGTTTTTATTTTGCGGGGAGGGCCAGGGATTAGCTCAGTGGTTCCAAGGTCGTGAATTTGATCCCTGGTACCAAAAAATACAATTTTGGGGAAACTTTATTTAAGCCTTTTTCTTGGTGGCTTCCCTGAACAAGCCTTGAGGTAGCTAACGAATAAAGTATGATCACCTTAGCCAAGCTATCTGGATAATATACTCTTTCTCTCTTGTGCATATTCTTACTCTGTCCCTTTACCCTCAAAATCTTGTTTTTTTTGGTACCGGGATTGAACTCAGGCCCTTGTACTTACAAGAGAGGCAGCGGAACCACTGAGCCAAACTCCTGGCCCTGAGTCTATTTCATTATTGTACCAAATGTGAAGTGGCAAAAGAGATGTCATAATGCTGTTTCTTTGAACACAAGAAGAAATGAAAGTGGCTAGCTAAAAACCATTGATTTGCAAAACATGAGTGATAAGTCTGTTCTCTTTCCCCTTGGCAGTCATCAATTTGATAGGCAACCTGCTAGTGGTACCCTGTGTGGGAGTCCAATAAATGAACACAGTTCTGTGATAAAGGTTAGAAGGAGGAATCACTCCCTGATTAAATATATAGGAACTATTCATGCATACCATTCATTGCTAAATGACTTCTGTATAAATTTTATCTTTTCCTTGTAATAGTTGGAAGCCTCATTAACTGCTGCCAAGAAACAGCTAGCAGATGAAACTTTGCTTAAAGTGGATTTGGAGAATCGTTGTCAGAGCCTTACTGAGGATTTGGAGTTCCGTAAAAGCATGTATGAAGAGGTAATTACGTATAATTTTACTTTTTAAAGGAAAATCCATACACAGTATACATTATATATTTTATTCATGATTCTTTCTCATATGAAATGTATCAGATGGATATGATAAGATTTGGGGTTAGGAAGGAGTTTGTATGTCAGCTGTTCAAGGTACTGCTGTTAAAACACTGCATCTGTGAAGCTAATACAGTAAACAGATAAAGTTACTTCATCTGACTTATAAAGGCTTGGTCACAGGTAATTCCTGTCACCATGTTTAAACATCTGTTAGTTACCTAACATAGTTACCTACTGCTGCCTAACAAGATTACCCTAGAATACTGATGGCAAACCTTTTAGAAATGATTGTAAACCACAGTCTAAAACCTACTTATTTATCACAAAGTGCAAACACTGCAATTACACCTGAATATTGAGGTTTTAGTTTAGAAAAAACATCTTATGCATTAATATTTTTGTCTTAAAAACAAGTACACACATGCCATAGTTTTACCACCACTGATGTAGAGCCGCAGAACCTGATTGATTGATTGGTTGGTTGATTGTCCTGGGTCTTTGCAGAGCTACATCCCCTTCCCTCTTCTTAATTTTTATTTTAAGACAGTCTTGCCGAGTTGCTGTGTTACCCAGGGTGGCAGTACTCCTGCCTCAGTCTCCTAGAGTTCTGGGATAACATATGCTCGCCACTGTGCTCAGCTCAGCTTTAATTTCTGTAGATCAGGAATCTGAAAGCTGCTTAAAGGATGGTTCTATTTCAGTCTCTTGAGGTTTCATTTAAGCTTTGATCCTGAGCTGGAGAAATTGCGTTGGATCTCACTCACATGAATGTTGGTAGAGGTATCAGTTCCATGGCACATGGTTTCTTAAGTAGCTTGCAAATGTATTTGAATTGTATTGATCTCCCATGTAGTTTTCATTTTGTATGTTGATGTTTGTGTTTTCTGATGGGAATGTGGTTTTATGTGATTTTGATCACAAATGGAGTACCTTTTCCAGTCCAAATGTCTTTCCTGTTTTATCATACAAACAGAAACCAATTTATTTATGATAAAATAGGAGTGGAATAGGAATTTCCTTGTAAATTGTAAGACATTTACATCAAGTTAGAGGGACCTTAGAAATAGTAATAAGAAGACCAGATTTGATTTTAATCCTTGTTTCTTCTCCCCCATTGAGCTGTACTATTAAAATTAGATTTATTGCATATAAACAGAAGCACATTATACGTGGGTGGGAATGTGAGGAGGCAGCAGTCATTGGGGGCCATCGTGAGGTCTGGCAGTTCACAGCATTCAGAGGTACACGTGTCAGTCCTAAAATAGCATTTACATCCTTAACTGCTGTGCTCAAGGGGGCAATGAAGCAATTATTGCCAAACTGGAAGAAAGGGAAATGTATACTCCCTAAAAATTGAAGAGGACTAGAATTAACCCAGGGAAAGTGTGCGCTTAACTATTTTAATGTTTTGAAAGTGGTGTAATTTTGAAAACAGTGACTACCAATGATTTTAAATCTAGGAATTCATTGTTGCAGTTATACTTTTTTTAATTGGAAGAAAATATAACTGGATAGAAATCTGATCATTTTTATTAATAATATTTACCTAAAATACGTATTTTTGGTATCAAGAGCATTGGACAAATAGTTTCTGTTACGTGGACCCTTAAGTTATGACTGGCTTGTCATGTGAACAACTTGGGTTATGACCAGAATTTTAGTTTTAACTCATGACTGAAGTCTTGAGTTAAGACCGGAATGCTGGCCACTTGTGCTTCCATATGGTCTCAGATACAGAGTTAACCCTTAAAGAGTTCTGGAAGGAACACGACAACATCTTTCCTGTGTGGGGTTCACTGAGAAACCCCGGGCCAGGGACTCTGTAAGGACACTGAGACCTGCCTGTGTACAGCAGAGAGACTTTGAAGGCTGAGTAGTGCAGCCTGAGCCTCCATTGACCAACGATAACCAGCCCTCAGGAACAAATTGCATTTGTAAGTCAAGGGTCCACTGCTTTGTATTTTGCTTCAAAGGAGTGGCGAGTATCAGAGTGAAATACTATAGTTGAAAGGATAACTTGCAGCAAGCACTGTTACATAATAGTTAACAAATGTGACTTCACAAAAGCAGACTTTTGTATTTTGTTCTTTTGGAGATAAGGTCTTGCTGTGTATTCTAAGCTGGCTTTGAACTCATTTTATGAGGTCCAGCCGTCCTCCTGCCTTGGCCTCCCGAGTGCCATCTTGCCCAGTTTATTGTTTTGAGACAAGGTCTTGCCATGTACTGCAGTCTGGCCTTAAACATCTTTTGTAGCCTAGGCTGGGGTTGAACTCTCAGCCCTCCTACCTCGGCCTTCTCAGTGCTGGGAGTATAAGAGTGAGCCACCCCATATGGGAAAAGCAGACATTTTATATGCAGTTGACTTATATTTTTGTTTTGCTTTGTCTCTGATCTGTTGTTTTTGTTGATGTGTATAGACAACCAGGAGTATTTTTTCCTTTGTAAAATTAGTTTATATAAATAATAATTGAAAAATGACATCAGTAGAAAGTAATTTAATATTTTTAAAGTGGTAAATTTTAAATATTTGCCTTTTTGAGAATGCTTTTTAAATTTTCCTCTTCTCTTTTTCCCATAGTGAGTACACATTGTGAACACTTAAGGAAGAAAGAAAAGAAGAGCGAGGGAGGTAGAAAATGGTGCACTATTAGGAGAGACTCAGTATTTTGTTGAACTAAAGTTTTCATTTGTGTGTTTTCATGATTTAAGTGTCATTTGCTTCATTGAACAGAATAGCCTCTGGGACATTTATAGCGGAACTGGGATTTGAACCATGATTTTCTGATTTATCTGAATGTCAAGTGCATTTTCCTATGCAGTGATTAAGAAAAAAGATGAGCAAATGTGAAAAAAAAAAAAAAAAAAAAGCACATGCACTAAGGTACACAAAGAACTTTAGTGAGTTAAACATAATTATTGCCCCTAAAGATACGTGTTGCATTTTTTACAGCAAGAACCTAAAATGAACAATTTATTCTTGGACTTATGTTCTTAGCCCCAGATTAAAAAAAGGTAGCTTCTATTACTTTTATTCTTTAATAGTGAATTATACTCAGTTGAGTCAATCAAATAATGTTAATAAGGCCTTATATTAGTTGACATTGATAGCTTAACATCAGCTAGTAAGAGAAATGTGTAAATCCCCTGCCTTGTTGCTGTGTCTAAGAAAATCTTGTAAAGAGCCAAGCACAGTGGTACACACCTATAATAGCAGCACTTGGGAACCCGAGGCAGGAGGGTCACTGCAAGTTCAAGGCCAGCCTGGGCTACCCAGGAAGTTCAATACTACCCTGAACTACATAGTGAGACCCTGTCTCAAACCAAATGCAAAAAGAAAGAAACTCTTGTAAATGTTGAAGTTGGTCTGCCTGCAGAGTTTAGTTTCTGTCATATATCTTTTTCAGAGGTGTCCTTAGGTTTATAAATAAGCAGGTTAGAAAAACAATAGAATTGAGTGTTTAATGTGGTGTCCTGTGGAGCTGTGTATGCTGAAGTGGTACTTTAGTAAACCATCGAGGCCATTCCTTGCCTTCAGAGAAGTAAAGTAGGTATATGAAAAGAAACAGCAAATACTTGGGGAGTAACCTGGATTTATATCATTTTTCTTCCCCCAGGAGATTAATGAGACCAGAAGGAAGCATGAAACACGCTTGGTAGAGGTGGATTCCGGGCGTCAGATTGAGTACGAGTACAAGCTGGCTCAGGCCCTGCACGAGATGAGAGAGCAGCACGACGCACAAGTGAGGCTATACAAGGAGGAGCTCGAGCAGACTTACCACGCTAAGGTGAGCGCGCTCTCAGAACACCAGTCACTGCTGAGCATGAGGGTGATGTTTTGTTCTGGTTTTATAAAATGATTTCCCTTAGTTAGTCTTTGTGACTATAGAAAATGGATTTTTTTTTTTTTTAAAAAAAATGCAGTTTTCTAAAAGAATTCTACTACAAACAGCAAGAGGAAAGTAAACTTATTTCGCTTTTATTCTTGCTAGACGTAAGGACTTACCTTGTTTGTCCTGTTGGCCATTCATGTCATATCATAATAGTTAAGACCAAAGCATCAGAAATCTTTTCTTCCAACAAGGACTGACCGTGCTGCCCTGCACATCCACTGAGTATTGACCCGCTTCATGTTGTCATGGTACATAGATCGAGACCGCTACACTTTTTTATAAGAGCAAAACGGGAAGTCCCTGATTATTTATTCCTCTGTCACTTATTCATTTAAAAAGTATAGAACTGTTACATTTGTGTTAGACTATACAAAAATCCTAGGCTTTGCTGGTGAGTTAATTAAAAAGAATTCGTGCAAGACTTAGAGTCATAGAGTTAGTAAATAAATTTCTGTTGCACGGCTTCAAACTGTTCTTGTTTCAGCCTCTTTCTGAAGTCGTAACTGTCTAGAAAGCGAGAGATCAATCGAGAGTACCTCCAGTGTCTCGTCACTGAAGGCTAGGCATTGAGCGAGATGGCGAAGGAGCTAAAGTTAGTGTCAGTCACAGGCTGTGGCTTCAAAGGGAGCGGGGACATGTAGAAGCCTGTGCCCAGCACACATACATACAGAATAGAGCGCACGAGTGTTTGGAGGAAGAGGGTATTGTTTTTATTTGAGGGGCTGTTTTTCCTTCTGAAAGGATTTCTGTCTGGTTTGAGGGAATCTAGTCTGTGGTGGATTTGATGGGTTATACACATGGGCGGTGTTTTCCTACAGTATCACACTGTCCAGTTGCTATAGCTTATTTTCCTTATTAGCAGTATTTCCTTATTAGTATTAGTCTAGGCATTCAAGGTTTAACAGGGTTTTTTTGTTTGTTTTTTTGGTTTTTTGAGCAGGGTCTCACTGTGTAGTTGAGACTGACCTGGAACTCACAGTGTAGCCCAGGCTGGTCTCAAACTCACAGCGATCCTCCTACCTCAGCCTCCTGAGTGCTGGGATGACAGGTGTGTGCTACCATACCTGGCTAACAGTTAAAATATTGAAGTAATAAACTTTGGGTAAAAACCCAGTTAACATTATTAAAGTTCATATTTTAGGAAGTAAATCCAAAAGTCTGCTGACAAGGTAATTCAGACGTCATCAGACTTCACACTTTTCCTGTGTTTCATCTTTCACTTACCAGCAGGATGTGAGTCTGAAATACCTTGAGGTGAGTCATGCTTCCTCCTTTGTTGTAACTTACTAGATAAGACAATGTTTGCTGCTTCTTTTAGCTGGAGAATGCCAGACTGTCCTCAGAGATGAATACTTCCACTGTGAACAGTGCCAGGGAAGAACTGATGGAAAGTCGTATGAGGATCGAGAGCCTCTCGTCTCAGCTTTCTAATCTACAGAAGGAGGTAAGAAGGTCACTTCCCATAAGCAGACTCGGGTTCACTGGAAGACTACCTCCTCCACCAGAGTGGTCTGCCTGCTCTGCCTGTCACCCTCCCTGTGTGTCAGAGGTGATGATACCATCTTTACCCATCCTCTGAGCAGATGCTGTTACTCCTACTGAATGGAGCTCCAGGTTGGATGTGGTCGTTTATCCGCCGGACCTATCCTAGGACCCAGAGTTCCCCTGGTACCTGTCGGCCTCCTCTCTACAGTGTTCTTCCTGACACGTCTTTTTCATATCTAGAAAACATGAGGGAAATATGCAGAAATCTCATTGTGGGTGGTAAATGCTTTGTGTTTGTAGACAGGTTCTCTTTGTACTTGAAATACTTAACCTATTAAGTCTTGTGATAAGCATTAATTTCTGTATTCGTTAGGGATTTAGGGGCTTCCTTGGGGACCTAAATGGCGAATGATTGCATTACTGACTGTGTTGAGTGGTGGCCTGTAATGGTGGTGTGCTCCAGGTAGAGCTAAAACAGCTGGATGTGGCTTCAGATCTGTCAGTCTAGGGCGGTAATGGTGAAACTTTTAGAGACAAATGTCCAAAATGCAATCCAAAACCCACTTATTTATCACAGAGTGCCAACACCGCAATTAAACCCCAATACCGAGGTATTAATTGAGAAGAAACAACTCATACATGAATCTCTCTTAAGATAGATAACACGCATGCCATAGGTTCGCCATCCCTAGTCTAGGGTGATGTCAAGGGTACAAAGTATGTACACAGCCATGTAAGTATTTAGCATTATTTTGTAATTTACTACTCAATTACTTGGGAAGTAAAACTTGAGCTTTTATTTAAAGGTGGAAATCTTGTTTTATATTTTTCATGTAGGAATAAACTATGTAATTTATTATCGATTAGGCTTTCCCTTTTTGTCATTTTATTTTTAGTAAAGTCTTTTTCTAATTATAAAGCTAAAGCCTTGTATTGTACGAATTTAGAAAACAGCAGAAAATGAATCACATAAAACAGGCTGATGTGAAAAAAGTTACCTGAAAGTTAAATTGCCTATCATGAATACTATATTGGAATATAAAACTTTAAAATTTTTGTTTTGCTTTGTTTTGAGACAGGGTCTCACTATGTAGTTGAAATTGACCTGGAACTCACTATGTAGCCCAGGCTGGTGTCCAGCAATCCTCTTGTCTCAGCCTCCCGAGTGCTGGGATTACAGGCATGCACCACCACGCCCAGCTAAACTTTAAAATTTTTTAGACAACTATTTTATCCTGATAATGTTATGTTTTTGTGGAACAATTGAGCTGGAAGGAGTTGAGTGACTGACCCAGAGGTTGCAAGCTAATAAATGAGTGTCCTAGTTCCTGGTTTTTCCTTTTATATCTCCTTCTCTTCAAAGATTTTATTTGTTTTTTGGGGGGTTCTGGGAATTGAACTCAGGACCTAGTGCTTACAAGGCAGGCTCCGTCCCACTGAGCAAAATCCCCAGCCTTCAAAGATTTTCTTTTAGGAATTTAACAGACACTTTGCTTTCCATTGTACTATCTTAGTCCTTTTGGAGCTGCTCTTAGAAATACAGAATTGGTAGCCATGGTGGCAGGAATGTACTTCTTGTAATTCAGGAGGCTGTGAAGTCCACAGCCACTGCCAGAGTGGGAATGTGACGAGGGTCCGTTTCCTGATGTCTGGTGATGCCTCCTTCTTACGTCCTCAGTGGCAGGAGGTCAGATAAGCTCCCTTGGGCCTGTTAAATGAGTGTACTAATCCCAGGCACAGGAGCTTTGTCCTCCTGAGATCTAGCCAGCACCCCAAAGGCCGCATCTCTTAGTATTGTCACGATAGAAGTTAGGGTTCATTGTGTCAGTTTGGGGGAATAGCACTATTTTAACAGGTACTTTTCTAGAGATAGGCTTTTCTGATCTTATGCTGAGTTGATATGGACCGCTTTTCTCCATTTGATAAGTCGTGTTTTGGTTATTACCTCTCCTTTACTTTAGTTGTCCCTGTCTCTTTCACCTGTTTGGCTGTGCGTAATTCAATTGTACTTGGTACAATTTTTTTTTTTTAACTAGAGATTGATGTTCATTTTACAGAGCGGTCTGTGGTTATAGTACGGTTTAGCTCTGAAACCTAGTAGTTAGGTGTTCTGATGTAGGCTCATGGTCTGTGTTCCCTGTGTGTGTGTTGACTATATTCCCATCTTTGTTGATATTTTTAATCATATAGTGGTTTTTAGTCAATGTTAGACTTGTCCCTGGGTGTTTTTAGGAACCAACTTCTTAGCAAATAGGAGAGAGACGTATTCCCTTCAGTCAGAATAGCTTTTAATTTCTTTGGGCAGAAGACATTTTTTCTATTCATTACTGGTAGCAGATTTTATGATAAGGAATATAGATAATATGTATTTTTTTTCAGCTTTAATTGAGTTTATTGGTACATTTTAGGGATACAGTACAGTTACATTCATTGTTGGGATCTTGCACCTCTACATGACAGGTCTTGATTCTCATTTTTTCCCCTTACCTCTGCCCTCCCTTCACCCCCTCCTCCCCTCCCCATCTATAAACACTTTATTTTCATCTTTTCATTCTCTCACATTTTTTTTCTTTTCCCTTATTACCCTTCACCTACTCATCCCATCTTCCCTACCCCTTTAGCTCCTTTCTTCCCATTTCTAAATGTCAGTAATCTTATTAGGATCTTATGTATTATTGCAGATTATTCACACCAGGGAAACTATTCGGTATTTACACATGTGTGGATAATATGTATTTTTTAATAGGGAATTAAATGTTTAATACCTAAGAATAATACATTTCTAGCCTGCTAGAGTCCCCATATCTACATGATATCTACATGCTCATTCTTGGTTCTATACTACAGACATTACATAAAACTCAATTATAAACCAGAGTGTATTGTGTTAATCCATACAACTTACGAAAAAACAAAAACACTGCCACCCATGTTTCTACATGTCTTTTCCAACTGAGACATGTCAAAAACCATATTGCCATGGGGAGGAATAATAAAGTTGAGTTTTGAAGTCTTTCTTTCATCGGAGTTATTTTTTTTTAAGAGTCGAAAAAAATTATGATGTCACATCTAAAATTTTAGCTAAAGCGTTAATTTTAGCTATCATAAAAATACTACGACCAGACATTCATGAATAGATACTGCAAACTGGGGGAATAATAAGCAAAGCAGAATTCATGGTTACCATATTCACACATACTCTTTGTTGTGTTTCAGTGCCACATGATCTGATTCAAAGTAATAAATGTCAGGATCATCACCTTCCTCTTCTGCAGTTTGCTGACTGGCTGTCTCTGGCAGGTGGTGTAGGTCCAATACTGAGTCTTCCCTCTGAGGGCGGCTTGCTTAGTCCTTCACTTCCATAGTTTTGAGAGTCACAACGTAAAACTTTTTCACTTTGAGAAATGTCACCAGGACTTGTGGGAGACTCACGTTATCACTAGCAGTTGCACCCATTTCATTGGGACTAAGATTACTCTCCTCAAATTGTCCATCCCTCTGCAAGGAGACCTGTTTTTAGTGGGACCAGCTCTGAGGGCCGGCCCTGCGTGGTGACGCTCTCAGGGTATAGCGATGTTCTCGAGGTTCCCACAGAGACGTCATCGGAGCTGAGGCGCAGTCTAGAACAGACTGCTTCTCCCCAGACTGGCTCTCTGTCAAGACCTGCGTCCAAGACGTTCTGGTACTTTCATCACACCGCTCTTCTTAGGCACTGCTGTCTCCCTCCACATCCACTTCCTGCTCAGAACCCCTTAAAGATGACTGGAAGCTGGCTCAGTAGTCAGCTGGTTAACACGCTCCACCTTCCGGCGGGCAGTTCCTACTTTGTGGTCCTCCAACTTGACCTGCACTTCTGAATTTGGGCAAAGCACATTACGTTCTATTTAACTGTCGTCCCTGCTGTTATCACAGAACAGTGAAGCCTGGGTTTCTGAAGCCCCATCTTCAGCTATTGATTTCTCCTGCAGTGCATAGGAACCAGCAGTACTTTACTTAGCGTTCCCATCAGGCTGAGGGTCATCACAGTTTATACCAGCAGAATCACTGTCGTCAACACCGGTGACATTCAGATAGCCTGTGATTTCTTCAACTACCGCAGAATTACGTGGCCCTTCCTCACTGACATTCACCTTTCTAACTTCCCTTTTCTCACGGTCATCCAGTATAAGACATCGACAAGCGCGTTCAGTCCCTTGACTGTCTGCATCCTTGTCCACCCTGCCCACCTCTGTTCAGCTGACCCCTTGTCTGATTTGATAGGCGAATCCTCTTCTGAACTGTTTGGAGCTTCAGATCTAAGACAGTGTTTAATTCTTTTAAAAACGGGTGATATAGGTTCTGTTTGCCTTCTCACAATTTTCTATCGCTTGCCTTTCTAGGTCATCCTTTTCCGAAGAAGAAAGTCTTCTTTTCCTAGGGCTTACCCATGATTCTTGCCTACTCTGCTGCTTTAAATCAGTGGTTTTTCCATTATTATTTCCTCTCTGAATTTGCACAGGCTCTGGTCTCTTTTTTTGGGATCTTGATTGTACTTGAGAATGAGAAGAGAGTTCTTCAGGGTGAGCAATGCTATGATTCCTTACAGTTCTATCACAGAAAGATTCATCCAAGCTGTTTAAGCCCACTGTTGATCGTGTAACACGAGTAGATTGGTAGGCAGCCATACTATGGCAAGGCCCTATAATCAAGATCCACTAGTTGGGAAACCTGTGTGACCAAAGACCTATCACTGGAAATTTATCTCTTTTCCTTATATCCTGAAGGAGTTGGAGCTATGTCTAGAGTACAGCTTAAGCATCAGGCTTTCAGACTCTCAGCTTCGGCCATGGGGAATACTAGAAACTCTTAAATTCCTTTAGGTGAGTTCTACCAGTATTAAGACAGGCAGGTTCCTGCAGACATGTTTCTTAAGGCCTTTCCCAAGCGCCTGTATTTATCTGTCTTCCGTGTTAATGTCCACGTTACATGGAGACTTCAGGTGCTAATTCATATGGTTGCACTAGCATAACTTTGTATCTGTGAAGGAAACCACAGTGTGGTCACCATGGCTGTGCTGCTGTTTACAGATCTTCCTTGCAGGGCCGCACACACAGGCCTCGGAAAGGCGCCCCCACCGTGGCTGCGCTCCCCCCCCACCATGGCACTTGCTCCAGTGGCCGCAGCTGCCAGGAATATATTTTTTATATATTTTTTATAATTAGTGGGTAAGTTTTAGCCTTTAAAAGTTATCAAAAAGAAAAAAAGTGATCTTAATATTTTCATATCGTATAATGTACAGTATTGTTAAGTCATTCACGTTTCCTCATTCTACCTGTCAGGCTGTAAGAGTTTCGTTTTGGTTGTATGACTCATGTTAGCAAAGGACTTCCTAAGTTTTATTTAAAATTGACATTGGCCTTAATTTTGACTTTAGAGGCTATGTTTGAATATATAGATGGCAAAATATTATGTTTTACCTTTTTTTTTTTTTTTTTTT